ATAATGTTAGTAATAATGATAATGATAATGATGATGAAAATAGCGAAAATAATATGATAGTAATAATAGTAATAATAGTAATAATATTGATGGTGATAATGAGCAATAATTATGATGATCATTAAATAATGAAATAATTGATTACGAAAATATATGATTTTTAATAAAATAATCAAAGAGCTCACCACCTGAAAAAAATTGAAATTATAATTTGAATTAATTAAATTGATAATTAAGTTAATCATACTTAAATATTTTATCAATATATAGTCAATACATAAGGTTTAAAAATTTTAAATTAAAAAAGAAAAAGAAAATTATTATGTAAATATTAATCCTTTCATTTAATTTTTAGATATTTCATTAAATTTTCATTATTTACCTTCAAATTATGAAATTAATAAATTAAAAAATATATAAAAGTTATTTGTCATAAAAACAGTTTCCTGTTGTATATTTCAATTTCACTCAATAAGATATAATATGATCAAAGGTTGTAAAAAGCAAGGTTTAAGTAAAAGCAAAAGTGCTCGCAAGTTAAATAGTAATTTTTTAAATTATTATATTTATATTCTTTGTCTATTTTTCTACTATATCCTTTATCTCATCAGGGAGAAGCATGAGTATTAATAAGAATAAGAGGAAGTAAGATGTACCCTTACGAATCTGGGTATGGATTTTATTCTTTAGAAAACTAACTGAAAAATAGTTTTTTTATACTCTTTTCTACTCAAAGTGTTCACTTTTTGAAATTTTCATTCTACTCATTAATATTTTTATATTGAAATTCATTTGAATAACTGTTTTTTGATTTACTAAAAGTTGTCAATATTATTAATTTATATATATATAATTAATATTTATTGTTTATTAAAGACTTACCAAAATAAAGGCCAGTATTTTTCAATATTTACATGGAAATTAACTAAAAGATTTCTAAAATTACAAAGATGGTTTTTTTTTCTTCTCACAAAATGCATATAGTTTTGTTACTAAAAGCCTATCTTTATTTTTAATTTTATTAAAATCTTAAAAAAGAGAGGTTTAAAATCAATATGTAAAATGACAAAAAAGATATAGATGTTAGTAAAGAATAAGAATATACCAAATTTTGAAAGTTTAATACATGGTACAAAATTATATAATAAAAATTATTTACAGTTTAATATAAAAATTTAAAAGTTAAAAAGAAAGTTAACTCATAAGGATTTTCCTTCACAGTTTATAAACAAAAATAATAAATAATTACTAATATATAGATTTTGAAATACATTCCAGTGATCAAATAAAATAATAAAATATAAATAGAATAATTCTTCACCAAATAACAAGATCAAATAAAATATAGTATATTTAAAACTAAAAGATATTTAAGCCAATTATTCAATTAAATTAAATTAACACTTTATTCTTGAGTTCATTTTCTTCATTTTCAACTATATATATAAATTTAAATATAGTTAATAAACTAAAATATCAGAAAAAAAAAATAAAAAATATATTTACCAATTATATTATCAGGAATTGAAAAAAATTGCTGTCTTGAATCTAAATAAATAGTTAATATAAAAATTCTTTTCTATAAAAAATAAATGAAATTTATTTCTTATCAAATATACTTACTAAATATATCTGTATCATACTTATCATATACAGGCTTTGAAAGTTTTGATATAAGTCTACTTGTATATATTGCTTCAGGATACATTTGATTTATATCATATTGAATAAAATTCTTGTTTGATTTATTTGCTGCTTTAACTTCTTTGTTTACTTGTTTTTTTATTTCATTATCATTAGAAAGATATTTATCAAGTTGAGATTTCAATTCTTTAGTAGTTGGACGATCAAGAGGTTCAAAATTCCAGCATTTTTCAATTATATTTTTGAGAAATTGAGGAATTTTACATTTAATTTCAGGTTTAAGCCCTTTGCAAATTTCCATTACAAGATTTAAATTATGTGAAATATTGTAATATGGTAGATAACTAGTTAGAACTTCATACATAACCATACCAAAAGAATAAATATCAGATTCTTTAGTGTATTCTCCTTTACTCAATGTCTCAGGTGCCATGTATGGAATTATACCATAAATCTTTTCTGGATTATTTTCTGAAACTGGTTTGCACAATCCAAAATCAGTAATAAAACAATTAATATAATTTTGACTAAGTATATTACCAGAATGAAAATCTTTATGCATTAAGTTCATTTTATGGATATTGTCAAGTCCACTTACAATAGTTGATAAAATATTATATTTTCTTCTCCAAGTTTATTCTTCAAACTTGTTATTTAACAGTTTTCTAATACTGCCATTTTTTGCATATTTCATAACCATCATATATTTATTTTCTATTGTATTTTTAGTAATGCCATATATTGCAACTGCATTTTTACCTCGAAATTTAAGCTGATTTTCAATCTAAAATATTTATTACTGTAAAATATAATAATTATACATATACATATACAATAAAAATTAAATAATGAAATATTTACCTCTTGCAAAAAATCATTTTGATTTGTGGAATTATCATGAACTTTTAAGCAAACATCTGTTTTTCCAGATCTTAACCAATTTTTTACTTTATAATCCCAAGACCTAATAGGTCCATCAAGCCATTTTGCTTTGTGTACTGTGCCAAAACCTCCTTTAGCAAGGTATGTGATATTTTCAAGCCTATCAAATGGAATCCACTCAATAATTTCTCGACTTTTATTTGTCTTTAGTTGTATTTGTTGGATAAATTTGTCAATTTCTTTATCTTCACTTGACCATTTATCAAATTCATTTTGAAACCTTTTAGCATTACACGGATGGCACCAATTGTATCCTGTATTATTTTGATGGCATTCACTGCACTTTCTAAAAAATATTATTAATAATTAATTAAAGAAATTTATTTGATATTGAAACATTGATTTCAATGATTATGAATCTAAATACTCACTTGCTGTAATATAATTTATATTGATTAGTTTATAATTGATTAGAGAATTGTTATATGGTATTGAATTAAATTGAAACATTGATTGAGATAATTATGAATCTAAATACTCACGCGCTATAATATAATTTATATTGATTAGTTTATAATTGATTAGAGAATTGTTATATGATATTGAATTAAATTGAAACATTGATTGAGATAATTATGAATCTAAATACTCACTCACTGTAATATAATTTATATTGATTAATTTATAATTGAATGGATAATTGTAATATAATAATTGAATTTAATTGAAACATTGATTGAGATAATTATGAATTTAAATACTCACAAGCTGTAATTGATTAGTTTATAATTAATTAGGAATATAATTTATGCAAATTATTATTAGTAATAAATTATGGATTTAATTAAAATTTAATATAGCAATATGCCTACTCTTCCGATTCTTTCATTTCTTCCGTCTTTCTCGTTTCTCCGTCCATTATAAAAAAATTCACCTTTCTTTTGGCACAAAAAACCATTGCCTTGTTATACACGCACGAGAATAATTACTTTTAGAACTATTTACCAGATGTTTGGTATTTGGTTTTTGAAATTTTCTATTACTTGCAAGTTACAAAGTTACACCAATACAAGTTTAATTTTAACACAGTATAAGTTGATCAATTTTTTTTTGATCACATCATCACACATTTCATCAAAACACGACTAATTCAATTCAAAAATTCAAATTATTTTGACAAGAAAAAAAAAAAATAATTAACATGACAACAAATATGAGTATGAATTTGACGACGACGGCGGGTACCAGTAATTTTTTATATACTTGTAAATGGGGAAATTGTTCAGAAAATTTTGATTCCATAGGTTTTCTTTGGCAACATATTGAACGAACACACGTTGAAGCTTGTCAACCTCGACTTGTACATTTTATTGACGACGATGGTAATAATAATAATAATTATTTATAATTATAATTATAATAAATTAGAATATAGAATATTTTGATTTTTCTATCTTTTATTATTTTATTTTTATTTTTATTTTTTTATTTTTATTTTCTTTAAATCTTTAGATCTTTAGATCGTAAAAATGAATTAACCTCAATTTTTGAATATTTATATTTAGAACTAATGATGGATGCAACGGAAACGAATAATAACCGTATACAACCAGTAGAACCAACACCAACCGCACAATCATCATCATCATCAACATCAACAACAACGATGACCGCCGCACCATCAGTATCTTCTACTTCAACAGCTAATAATACTCCTTTACGTAAATCGAAAGTTACTTCTTCTTCTTCGACTACCACCAATGTGAATCCTAATATTAATTCGAATATCAATTCGAATATGAATGCTACCGCCATTATTAATCCTAATATGAATGTTATTAATTCCGGAACGTCGTCGTCTTTAAATAATAACAATATTCTTTCGACGAGTGGATCAGGATCGGGATATTCCGTTAATACTCCTGCTGTTAGTACTGTTAATATCGTTAATACTGTTATAACTCCAAATCGATCGAATATGTCAAATAGATCAAATAATTATACCAATAATTATAATACTGCTACTACTATGAATAACAGTAATCTTAGTAATATTAATAGTACACAACAATTAATATACTACCAATTACAACAACAGCAAAAATTGCAACAACAACATCAAAACATACAACAACAAAAATTGCAACAAAAATTACATCAGCAACAAAGAATACAACAAAAAATACAACCACATCCACAACAACAACAACAGCAGCAGCAACAACAAACATCACTTGTAGGTGGTGGAAGTGGACAAACTATCAATACAAGCGGAAACACTATAAATAATAGCAATAATAATAACAATAATATTAGTAATACATTTGCCGGAAGGTCACAATTAGTTAGAACTCAACCTGCTCAACCTCTTCCACTTCTCCCCACGAAGACAATAAAAGCAAATCAAAATGCAATCAATAATTCTGCCGTTGCCGCTGCTGCTGCTGTTGTTGCTTCCCAACAACAACAACAACTGATGCAACAACAACAACAACAACTGATACAACAACAACAACTGATACAACAACAACATCAGCAAGCACATCAACAAACACATCAGCAAGCACATCAGCAAACACATCAACAATCACAGCAACAACGTCAGCAAGTACATCAATCAAAAAGCCAACAGCCGCAATCACAGAAACAAAAATTACAGCATTTAGAAAAATTAGAAAAATTAACTCATCAACGATTAGCTAAACATCAACAACAAATGTTAGCTCAACAACAAATGTTAGCTCAACAACTACAACAAAAACAACAACAACAGCAACAACAACAGCAACAGCAGCAGCAACAGCAGCAGCAACAACAACAAAAACAACAAGTGGTTACAACTCAATTCATTATAGAATCAGCACAAGGAATGATTCAAAATAATCAAGTTTATGGATTACAACAAATACATTCAGTAACACCTTTACGTCCGAATTTATCAACGAGCACTTCAAATATAAACACATTAAATTCGAATAATAATAATAATAATACATTACAAACTTCTACACAATCAACTGCTTCTGGACAAACTGTAACAGCAACAGCCACGAATGCAAATACCTTAATCGTTAATACTGCTGTTAATGTTGCTGTTAATGCTGCTGTTAATGCTGCAGTCAATGCAGCAACATCAACAGCAACAGCAGCAGCAATACATCATGCTACGACAAATACGACGAATACATTACAACAATCCAATAATACCACTACAACTAATAATAATAATAATAATAATAATAACAATAATTCACCACCTCAAGGTCAAGCAGCACAACAACAACAAGTAGTAAATATTAGACGATCTTCAACCGGACAATCTTTACAAAAACAACCACAACAAGTCATTCAATCGCGACAACAAGTTGTCCAATCACAACAAGCAGCTATTCAACCAAGATCACAACAACAAGTTGTTCAGTCACAACAACAGCAGCAAATTGGTCAATCACAACAACAAGTATTAAATATTAGACGACCTTCAATCGGACAATCTTTACAAAAACAATCGAAACAACAAGCTATTCAACCACAACCACAAATACAACAACAGCAACAAGTCGTTCAGTCACAACAACAACAGACATTAAATACTAGGCGATCTTCGACCGGGCAATCTTTACAAAAACAACCACAACAACAACAACAAATTGTTCAATCACATCAACAGCATGTTTCTCAACAACAGGCTGCTCAACAAGTTGTTCAACAGCAAGTTGCTCGACAACAAGCTGTTCAACAAGTTGTTCAACAGCAAATTGCTCGACAACAAGCTGTTCAACAAGTTGTTCAACAGCAAGTTGCTCGACAACAAGCTGAACAGCAAGTTGCTCGACAACAAGCTGAACAGCAAGTTGCTCGACAACAAGCTGTTCAACAAGTTGTTCAACAACAAGTTGCTCGACAACAAGCTGTTCAACAACAGGTTACTCAACAAGTTATTCTACATCAAGCTGCTCAAAAACAAAATGTTCAACAACAACAACAATCCAGTATGAATAATAATAATAATAATAATTTGGGCTCAAAAGATGGTAATAAATAAAAAAAGAGTATTATAATTTATTTTTTTAATATAATAATCACAATAATAATAATAATAATAATAACAATAATAGCTAATAACAATAATAGCTAATAATAACAATAATAATGATGATGATGATATCTGTTACTACTATTGTTAAATATTTAGTAAGGATTATTAAATATGTATATAAACATTTTAAAAAATTTATTATGAAGTTTGATAGGAAACATTTATTTTTGGAAATTTCAATCAAAAGAAACAATGACAATTATATATACATCAATTTATATACATATGTATATACACAATGCTAGACAACATTTTAGACAACAACATAACAACATAACATAACAATATTACAACTATTACAAGTTTTTTTTTACTATCATTGTTTTTTTTTTTAATCGGTGGTTTCTTTTGTCTCATTTATTTGGTTATTTGGGTTATTTGAAATCTGAAACTGAATATAAATATATATATATATATATATAAAGGAATATACAAAATTTTATCAAGAAACTTAATAGTAAATAAATATAAAATAATAAATAACAAAATAGATATAGAAAAAATATTGCAAAAAAAAAAAAAATAATAATAATAAAAAAAAATAATTACATTGCATTGTATGATATATGATTTTTGTTAAAAAAAAGTTTTTTAATATATTTTTTTTTTATTTTTTTTTTTATTTTTTTGATTATTATTATTATTAAGTATTAAATAATTAATTATATTAAATTATAAATCGATCAACGATATAATATAAAAATAAATGAGATAAATAATAATATATAATATAAATAAAATATTTTGACAATTAAAAAAATTAAAAAAAAAAATTAAAAAAGTAATTTGACAATATTTCATGACATGACATGAATTCACAAGTATCTACATCGAGCATCAACAAAGTTTCGAACACCATTGTACATCTTTGTATATGTATATGTATATGCGAGTATATAAAAATATATCTTTATTTATTTTTCAAATATTTCTAATCATCATCGTCTTCATTCTGATCACCCTGATCGCTTTGATCACTTTGATAAGGAGTGGGTTGATATATAATTATTTCATCGGATGACAAAGGACCTAACATTTCATCAGGCCAACGATACTCATTATTATTATTATTGTCGTTATCATAATCATTATTGTTATTATTGTTGTTGTTATCATTGCTATTGTTGTTATAATTATAATAATATTCATCATTATTAATTCTACGATTAATTCTATTATTATTATTATTATTACTGTTATTATTATTACCAATCCTCGATACATTTGACGTGATTGAATTTTTGGTGGTGGTGGTGGTGGTTGATGATGAATTTGAAGGTTTCATGAATTCCATCTTTTGTTCAAATTCCATATTCGAAATATTCGCCCAATCAATTGAAGAATAAAGATCATCATCATCAATTGAGGTGGTAGGTAAATCCCATTCTGATCCATCCCCACCATTTATTCCCATTCCATTTACCCAATTTACCCATCCAAATATTCCACCTTCAAATATTCCATTCTTACTTCCATTATTATTATTATTATCATCATCATTATTTCCATTTCCTTCATTTCTTACAGAATAATCATCATTATTTCCAATTCCACCAAATGACGACGACGACGCCGTCTCACTCCCATCTCGAAATCTACTGCTACTACCACCACCACCACTATTACGACCACTACTATAATAAATGAGATTTTCATCATTATAATATTCGTCAATACTATTCAAGTGAGGTCGGGTCACCGAAAAACTATAAACTTCATCTTGTACCCATTGTTCCCAATTTTCCGTAAATGATTCATCCAATAATAAATCATCGGCATATAAATATGCTGCACTATTGTAATGATGATTATTATCATTATTATAATTATAATTATTATTATTATTATTATTATTGTTGTTGTTGTTATTATAATTATTATTATTATGATGACTGTTGTTATTGTTATTATGATGATTGTTTTGATAATGATTGTTATGATTATTGTGATTTAGGAATAATGATAAAGGCTTGGTGTGGTTGGATGGGAATGATTCTTCTATTATTTCATTGTTATTATTATTATAGTTATTATTATTATAGTTATTGTTATTTGAGTTGTTATTATTGATATAGTTGTTGATGTTGTTGTTATAATTATGATGATTCAAATTATGTTGTTGATGATGAGGATCATAATATTGAGATGAATAATTTCTTTCATTATAAAATTTAATTAAAGTTCGAAGATTTTGTTCATTTGTCTAAAATTATTATTATTTATTATTATTATTATTATTATTATTATTATTATTTGTTGAATTCGCATTTTATTCAAAGACGGGGAGAAACAAAAAGAGAAAAGGTGAGATAAATAAATAAATAAATTATTATTATTATTTTTCACGGAGAGAAATAAAATGATTTTTGATAATTAATTAATTAACTAAAAATAACCAATAAATCTAAATAATTAACTAATTAAATTCGGTACTTTACCAAAGCTTCTTCAACTTCAGCATCCGCATCAGTTGGTGCTATCCATTCATCCCTTAAATCAGGACGACAATTTAAATATATTGAAGTGATTATTTTCATGTTACCTATTAATTAATCATTTATAATTAATCAATTAATTAATTAATTAATTAATTATTATTATTATTATTATTATAATTATTATTATTATTATAAATATGATTGTTTATTTATCATTATTAAATTGATTATAATAAATTATCAATAATAATAGTTGTATAAAACTTACTCTGTCGCCATTTCCTTCCGATAAAAGGGATTTGATTTTTTAATACTTTAAGAGCGTATAATTCTAATAAAGGATGAGAAACTTTAAGAATTCGTTTCAGAAGTGCCTAAATGATAATTAATTAATAATTAATGATAATTAATAAATAATTAAATAACAATTAATTAAATAATAAATATATAATAAATATAATTACTGATGATTTATATTGAACCAACAATAAAATCCTATGCGTCTTTCTCTTAGTTAATTTTTGTAATATACGAAGGAAATTTATTGCCGTAAAGAAATTTCTCCAACAATAATCATCTATTCCATTATTATTATTATTATTATTATTATTATTATTACTATTATTATTATTATTACTATTAATATTATTGTGGTGGTGGTGGTGATTATTGAATGATTGAGATTGTCGTCGTCGTCGTTGTGGTGATTTCGCTTTTACATTATTTTCACCATATTCACTCTCTTCATTCTCTTCATTCACTTCATTCTTTTCATTCCCTTCATTCTTTTCACTCACTTCATTCTCTTCTTCATTCGCTTCATTCTTTTGTTGTTGTGGTTGTGGTGATGATGAAATCGTATCGGGATCAATATCACGAGTAGCATCAATATCAGTATCAGTATTAGTATTAGTATTAGTATTGGTATTGGTATTAGTATTGGTAGAATAATAATATTCCAAATTGGTTGTTGATGATTCTTCTTCAGGTGAATTCTTTATATTGATCTTATCCTTTTCCTTATTATTATTATTATTGATATTGTTATTGCTGTTATTATTATTATTATTATTATTACTATTTTTATTATAATTGCTGCTATAATTGTTGTTATTATTTGATGCTGTACAATATCGAAAGAAACTATAAAATAAAATAATTAATAATATAATAAAATAAAAAAAATAATAATAA